TTTTGGTTTTTCTCCGGTACCGGGAACCAAACTCACGACCTTGCGCTTGCCAGGCAGGCACTTTTGCCGCTGAGCTAAATCCCCAGCCCCAGTTCTGATATTTCTTTACTGGTTTTTTGTCTGGTTGATCTATTTGTGACAGTGGGGTATTAAAATCCATTAATCCATTAATCCATTACAATTGTGTTATTGCTCATTTGATTTTTCCTGACTATTAATATTTATCTTATATAGTTGGTTGCTCCCTTATTTGGTGCATACATATTTATGATTGTTATCTCCCCTTGAAATTTTCCCCTAACAAGTATGTAGTGACCTTTATCTCTTTTGATCATTTTTGAAGTTCACATTGTCTGCAAATACAACAGCTACTCCTGCTTTTTATGGATTCATGTTGCATGGAATATTGTTTTCCATCCTTTGACTTTTAGTCTATGAATTTCTTTTTGAGTTAAATATGTTTCTTGTATACAGCATATTGTTGGATCTTGTTTCTTGATCCATTCTGCCATTGTGTTTCTTTTGATTGGTAAATTGAGGCCATTTACATTGATGATTATAACTGATATGGATTGGCTTATCTTTTTGTGTTATTGGCTTACTTTTGTCTACTTTTCCTTTAAATAATTCCTTTATTATAAATAATGAAAGTTGATAAAATTGGCAAAGTGAGAAAATATTCTCTTTGAACAAGAATTAAACACAAATTCTGCTGAATTGGTGTTTAATTGAGCTGCTCAAAATAGCATAACACAATGCCAAACACTTGGATTTTCTCTTCAAACATTGATACTAAATAAAGAGAGCCTGGTAAGTGAGTGGTGGTGAGGCAGAACTGAGAACTGAACCCAGGGCCTTTACACCAAGCTATGTCCCTAATTTTTTTTTTTTTTTTTTTGAGACAGAGTCTGTCTAAGTCTCTAAATTGCCCAGACTGGGATATAATTTTGCTTCTCCTACCTTGCCTCCCAGAGTGCTTGGATTATAGGCATGTGCCACCAAGTCCAGTTCTGGGAATTTTTAATAGTATTTCATTGTTCCTAAAAGCATGTTGCATTAACCTTTACTTAAATTAATTCTGATATTACATTAATCATAATCTTTTTAATGCTTAAATACCATTACAATTCAATTTTGATCATTTGTGGAAATTTCCATGTGGACTCAGTGAAAGTGTCCTTGTTTACATATTTTACTCTTCAGAGGAGTTACCTCTAGACCTCTTGGCTATATCACCCTTTCCTATGAAAATGTAAGTGGCTCATAAGTTCTCTGAATTTCAATATTAAGGAGTAGTTACTCATATTGTCTTTCCATGTTTCATAAATTCTTCTAAATTTGCCATAATTTCTTTGTTTCAAGTTGAAATCTGACTCAGTTGCTTTTAAATGACTTTCTTTTTTCTATATTTCTTTGAATTTTTCCAAATAACTTTCTTTTTCAGATTCTTCCTTTCATAGTCCTTCTCCTTTTTTTTTTTTACGGCTGCAAATTCAGCTTTAAGTAATTTTCAGTGAATTGTCCAGTAAGTTTTGGAATCATAATTCAACCCTTTAACAAGTACAGTTTTACTCAGGCCTCTTTGCAAAATTTCATCATTCAGATTCAAGTTAAAATATCTACCCTTACTCAGTAAAAGGTAGCAAAAGAGTACTGAATTCTCCTTTCTGAGAAGTTGGAGCCATAATAGCTGGGAAGCTTTGAGCTCTTTTTTGTAACCATACCTTGCCACTTTCAGTGAGTTCTACTCCAGCCAGTTTAACTAGCAAAACACCACATGGCTCTTTTCTCCATGAAGTGGGTAAAGTAATGGGAATATGTTCAATTTCTAAACCATTCTCAGTTATCCCGTGTAATGTCCACATAATTTAACATTCTTTCTTATAAGTTCGGTTGGAATATCTGAAGATCTTGTAAATTGTGATATCAGTCGAAAACTTCTTAGAAATAACATTCCAGCTATGGCCATCCCAGTGCTGATGTTCTGGATGAGGTGCAAATGATCATCGGCCCACTGCGACACCCACGCCACCACATTGGGGGCTGTCGAGTCCTGCGCAGTGGACGGCGATGCGGAGCCCCTGGGCCACCCTGCCATGTTGGCGGCTTCCCGAAAGTGCGCTGAAAACAAAAAATGTCTTTAAAAAAATTCCCAAAGGACAATGATTTTGAGCCTAGAGTTCTATAACCAATCAAATTAGCGCTTAAATGAGGAGCAAAATAAAGTTTTGTATTTACTTTCAAGGACTGAGAAAATTTATCTCTTAGATCTTTCCAGAAAGCATTAAGGATGCAGTATAGCAAAATGAAGTAGGAATCTAAGAACTAGGAAGATATCAGATACAGGAATAAGACAATAAAAATCCCAGAACACTATTTGTTCTAGGAACTACTATGAAGAAACTGGATTATTTTGCAAAGGTTTATTATAATATTAAATTTAAAAATCACAGTATATTTCATTTTTCCTTTAACAGATACAAATTAGTAACAGATAATTTCACCATCTTCTGAGTCCACTATGTATGACCCTACCATGAATAATTTTTATATCATCATCAGACTACATATACTTATTCTGTTTTCAATGTTCAGAATCAACTAATACAGATGGGATGTCGAGTGTGCATAAGGCTGTGGATATGGTTCCCCAGCATGGGAATTAGAGAAACAAAAGCCATCATGGTACATGACTGTAATCACAGCACTTCGGGAGGATGTGGCAAGAGGATCTCGTTTGAGTCTGGGCAATTTAGAACTGTTTTAACATAAAAACAAAAACAAAAACAAAAACAAAACAACAACAACAACAAAAAAACAGCTGAGGATGTAACCCAGTGTGAAGGCCATAGGACCAAGCCTCAGATCTGCCAAAACAAAAAATCAAAAAATAGAGTAATTAACCAATAGACAATTTACAAAAAGTTTAATTCTCATTGGAGCAGAGTGTAAGTAATATGCATGGCTCTGCTAATGACGAGCAGCGGTAAGTTCACCAGTATAGGAACAGAATGTCTTATCCACCCAGTAGAAAATCAAACTACTCTGAACGTGAGGTTCACATGGCATTTGGGAGCGAGTGCGAAGCTGACCTACGTAGCAGGGTAGGTGTTCGAGGGCAGAAGGATTGTATGTAGGGTGCAGGGAGCACTAAGGGAAGAAGGGCATGACAAAGCAAGGTTGCTGGCAGCAAGGGGCGTGGTCCGACCAGGCTGCGCAGAGGGTGTGTGACAGCGTGCGCGCGCGCGCCCCACTTGGTGACCAGCACGCATGCGCAAATCAACTTCCCAGCATTCCTAGCGCTCCTTTTGCCACGCTTGAAGACCTTGCCTTTCCTCGCGTGTGGCGTCTACCTCGTGGCACGACTCTTGTTCTCACCTGAGGCGCCATGTCTTACCTGTCCGTGCTCTGCCGCCGCGTAGTCCTGCTCGGCCTGCAACCCAGCCGCCGCCTCGCCCACTCAGGGCCCCCGCGCCGGCAGCACTTGTCGCCCGCTGTGAGTTGGGCCCACCTGAAGGGACAGGCGGACTGGGTGCCGGGGAAGTGCGAAGCTAAGGCTTGAGGCGACCTGACACTTGGGGAGGAAGGAGCGGACGGCCTGGGGCTCGTGTGGAGCTTTCTGGGGCCCAGTCGGGGAGGTCCCACCAGGGCGCCGTTGTTGGGCCCACGGCGCGGCTTCTCAGGCCTCGGGAAGGGCTGGGACCTTCGCGCTCACTCCTGGCGGGCACGAAGTCAGAGGGCCAGATTATTGTTCACCGTTCATCGTGTACCCTATTGGAGTGCGCTTTTCGTGCCAAGTACTAGCATTTTCCTTAAAACTGGAAATCCTAGACAGCATTGAGCTTCTAGCGTAGGAAGGTCAGTTTGACAGCTATTTTTTTAAAAAAAGTTTGCTTTAAAAAACAATAGCCGGGGCGTGTTGGCTTGCGCAAGTAATTCCAGCGCTCAGGAGGCCGAGATAGGAGGATCCTTGTGAGTTCGAAGCCACCCTGGGCTACAAAGTGAGTTTAAGGCCAGCCTGAACTGTGTAGTGAAACCCTGTCTCAGAAAGACCAAAAAAAAAAAAAAAAAAAAAAAAATCAGATTACCTATGAATTGAATTTTGGTATTTTTGGTTCCACCAGGCACTTGTTTTTTGGATTTAGGGATTAAACCCAGGGATTTATGAATGCTAAGCAGGGACATTACCACTGAGCTACATCATTAAGCAGTTTTTGTTAGGCTGCAAATCAGTGGTCCAGGAAGCCACTCTAATTAACATTTTTCATCTTCTTTTCCAGGAAACTGCTGTTGGAATTTTGATGATTTTTAGCGCCTTTTTAGCACCGGCTGCATATGGGCTAACCAGTCTGAGCCAGTTCAGAAAACAGTAGCTGGAAGATATTGAGCAGCAGCTGGGGTCCAAAAAGCTTTCAGAAGAAACTGTGACTTGAAATGAGCAGGAGTGCTTAAGTTGGGTTCATTGTGGGCATTCACTTTCATAACCATATGTTTATGGTAAATATTTTGCACTTTTAATCGTGTGCATTATATAAATGAGTAGTCAAAAACACTGTTCTGTTTAAATGTTAAATAAAATTGAAATGCTTATTCATGCTTAATATATGTTTGATCACAAATTATTTTCATTTCTCCCTTTATTTTTTACTTGCAGTGCTAGGGTTGATCCCAAGGCCTAGTGCATGCTGGGCAAGTGATCTATCACTGAGTTATGTCCCTACCCTTCACAGATGAAAATTTACTCCTGAAAAATACAATAACTGTTATGAGAGATTTAGTGACTTGGAGTGGCATCAGGTAGTATTTTGTGGGAGTGAATGTTTGTATCTTGTGTCATAAGGGTTAGATTAGTTATAGTATTCTTAAGTGTAATGAAATGGTTTTTATGTCCTATTAGTACTGCTATTCCTTAATTTACTATTTGCTCTGAGAAATACATATATATGTATAAATTTTTTTTTCTTTTTTTTTTTTTTTTTTTGCTAGCTGTGGATGGAACCCATGGCTTCCTGTGTACTAGGCAACTGCTGTACTACTGAGCTACATCCCAGCCCAGTCTCTTCTGACTGCCTCCCTCCTTCCTGTCCCTCCTTCCTTCTTTCTGATTAAACTAGGGCCTTCACCCTGAACTATGTCCCCAGCCTTTATTATGACTGGTTTTTAAAAATTTTGGGACAAAGTTTTAAGTTCCAAATTGCCCAGGCAGGGCTTAAATTTGTGATCCTCCTGCCTCAGTCTCCCAGGGTACTGAGATTATAGGTGTATGCCACAATATCTGGTTTCTTTGCTTCTTTAAATTCCTAGGTGCCATGATTGGTAAGTACTTATAGACTATGTTTGTACCTGTCCTCGTTTAACCATATCTCAGTTGCCTTTTAGGTTTGAAGCATCACATGTAGATTTGAATCTCACTCTGCATGACTCTGGACAGCATAAGTCAACTCTCAGCCTCAGTTTCCATACCTCAGTAATGGAGACTTCAAATTGCTGTCTTAAAGAGATCATGTGGAGATTAAAACATTGAACAAAGATAAAGCACCTCTCACCATTGTGCCTGAAACCAAGTAAATACATAAAAAGTATTGTTGAGAAGCTATTGTTAATAAATTTACTAATACTTACTCATTTAAGAAATAGTACTACATTCCTGTGATGTGCCAGGTATTACATTTGTATGAGGTCAGTAAACCAAAAGAAGACCCTGTCCTGTATTGGATTTACGGGTCTTAGGGAACATACTTTATTACTTTAATATTCTTATATCTCTTATTTCAAATTAATATCGGTTGTCTTATGTACTTCTCTCCTTGCTGAAACAAAATACCCAGCGCTCAAAGTTAAAGGAGCAAAGGTTTATTTAGCTCACAGTTTGTAGAGGTTTCAGTTCATAGTTGGCTGGCTCCAAGGCAGGATGGCATGGCAGAGGGGTATGGAAGGGGTGAAACAGTTCATAGCAGGCAGAAAGCAGGAAGGCAGCAAAGCAGTGAAGTAGAGAGGAAGCAAACAGCAAATGTCCACCGCAGCCCTCTTTCCCTTATAGCCAGGCTACACACCCTTATGGCATGTAGCACTCACCCCCAGGTGTACTTTCCTGTTATCCATACTCAGAACTATGCCAAGCCAATCGGTAGACTAGTTTAGTGATCACACAGTCTTAATCTCAGCACACACTGGATCCAGCCAACAGTGAAAAGCTTCACCTATGACCACATGAGGCTTTGGGGAGACATCTAGACACATCATTGCATTGATTTTTTTTTTTTTTTTTCCGGTACTGGGAATCAAACTCATGACCTTGTGCTTGCCAGGCAGGCGCTGTGCCACTGAGCTAAATCCCCAGCCCCTTCATTGCATTGATGTTTCAGGGTTTTCCAGAGAAGCAGCCCAGAAAGAGGGAAGGGCAGAGGAGAGAGAGAGATTGATTTAAAGATTTGACTTAGGCAGCTATGGGAGCTGCCAAGTTCAAAGCCTGCAGGGTAGGGTGGCAGGTGGCAGGCTGGAGAGGGAAGAGTTGCAGTTCAAATCTGAAGACGGGCTTCTAGCAGGATTCCCTCTTAAGGGAAGTTAATCTTTTTTTTAAGGCCTTCATTGTTTGGATGAGACCAATTCACATTATGGAGGGCAAGCTTCTTTTCTACTGATACAAGTGTTATCTCTTAGTATTCACAGAAGCATCTGGAATAATGGTTAACCAAATATCTAGGTAGCATGACCTAGCCAAGTTGACATAAAAAATTAGCCATCAAAAGCTGGGTGTAGTGGTACACATCTGTAATCTCAGCACTCGGGAGACTGAGGCAGGAGGATTTCTGCAAGTTTGAGGCCAACCTGAGCCACTTAGCTCAAGGCCAACCTAAACTACATAGTGAGACCCTGTCTCAACCCCACTATTAGCCTTCCAAATTGGATAAAAAAATGTATGGGCTAATCAAAACCTTACCAATCTGTTATGATTTTCCTCCCCTGTTCATTGGTGGCAGACCTTCTCTGAGCTCTGACCCAACACAATACACTCAATCTTCTGGTTCCTTATATCCAACAAAGCCTTACTTCCATTGCCCATTTTGAACTTAATTTCTTCTTCTCTGATGACTTTGTATTTCAGCTTTTAATGCCTGCCTCCACATATTCCAAATGGAAAAAGATTGCTTTATGTTTGTTCTAGCTGGGGAAGAATGTTGAATGGTGGGTGTCTTTTCCATAGCTCTTTAGCACTTAGTTTTCTCAACTATTTTTTGACTCTCAGATGTATTTTTTTGAGTATGCTCATGTAATAATACTATGAGTTGGGAGATGGTAGCTAATTTTGATTCACAGAAAGATGTTATATTCAAGGTGAAATTGATTTTTATTATGTGGGGTAGTTATGTTCTATAAGGTTGCTGTAAACATTGAAATTGAGTATCGATCCATTGTTCCTAGGGGAAATGCAAGATCAAGTTCCTGTGAGCCTCTGGACACATTTTTGTCAACCTCTCAATACATAACATTTTATGTATGTCTCTGTTTTAAATTATTTAATATAGTTGATTTATTGTCTTTGGACCCATAACCAACAGCACTATATGCTGAAATGAAAATACACAATTTTTTGGTGTAATTCACATAGTATCTTCTTTGCATTTGGTACCCTGTAGTGGTGAATCTATGGCATGTGTGCTACAGTAAACACACAGAGCCCTCTCAGTCAGCACATAAGCCAAGTCGCCCAAGTAGCTGAGCATTGCATAACAGTTGCTTTTTTCTAAACTAAAACCTCAGTATTCAGGTCTAATTGCAGTGTTTGTACTTTACAGTAAGTGAGTTTGAGATTGCAGTTTGAGCACTAGGTCTCTAAAAGGTTCCCCACCGTTGCCCTAGAGCAAACTGCAGCTTTATGGTTGGGGAACATTTTAGATAATGAAGTCACAATCAAAAAGTACAAAAATTTAAAAAGCAAGGCACCAAATACCTTATGGAAAGGCCCTTTCTAATATTAGAACCAAAAAAGAGTAGAACTTTGCCTTGTCTGGCTTCTGCTAGGAATGTATGCATGAGGTGACTTAAATTTTTACTGCTTTGCACATGTCCTCAAATGACCGTAAAAGCACTGTACATATTGACTTTGGGGTTAAGTAAATTGAAGCAAATAGATGAACTTGTAAATACAGTGTCTCCAAATGAGGATAGATAATTATATATTGCCATTTCAAAATCTTTCCAAATTAATCCAAATTAATTTAGTCATTTTTATACTTAAAATAATTCAAATCTAAGAATTACTAAAGGCTTTTTCAGACATCAGAGAAATATAAATAACATGTGGCTTTTATATTGTTACAGCTTTTTTTTTCCTGTACTGAGGATTGAACCCAGGGAGCCCTGAGCTATATTCTTAGCCCTTTTTAAGTTTTTATTTTGAGACAGTATCTCACTAAATTGCCCACCTTGGCCTTGAACTTGTAATACTCTTGCCTCAGCCTCCTGTGTAGCTGGTATTATATGCATCTAGCATGATTTTATTTTTGTGGATACTTTTTGGCAAAGAAAGAAATGTAAGTTTAGAAATTTAAATTCAGGCCCTAAGGCAGACTTAGAAATTATATGTAATGTATTTAATTTGTAAACATGATGAACACCATATCTGTAAGCACCATGAAACAGTATTTGTGGTGAATGTTTTATGAGAAACATTGTTTTAGTCACTTTCTCATCACTGAGACACATTACCTGACACAACTTAGAGCAGGGGAAGTTTAATTTGGCTCCCAGTTTTAGGGGCATTCAGTCCATGGTTCACTGGCTTTAAGGAAGACATCATGATGCACGGGCATGGCAGAGGAAAGCTGCTTACTCATGGCAGTCAGTAAGCAGAGTGAGAGGAGGACCTGAGGACGAGAACATACCTTCTGGGTCATGTCTTCAGTGACCCATCTTTAGCCAGGTCCCACCTCCTGACAGCACATTCAGCTTGTGAGCGCATCAGTGGATGAACATAATGATATGTATAGCATCCCCATGATCAAGTCACCTTCCAAATACAGGACACTTTGGGGAACATAGCATATTGATAATTGTAAAGTACTTCTATTTACATTTTTTGGGTACTGGGAATCAAACTCACAACCTCACACTTGTCAGGCAGGCAATGTGCTGCTGAGCTATATCCCCAGCCCCAATACTTCTATTTAATAGGAGCAGGAGTGAGTTACTTTTGATATAAGACAGATGTTATCTGTGAAGTTCCATTTATTTTTAAAGTTTTGTTATGACACATTATTGAATATGGGTAAATCATTTTACGTAGGAGTTTGTTTTCTTTTCTGTAAAATTAACAGGTTGACCTAGGCCTGTGATTTTTAGTTTTTGCTTCCTTTAAAAAATATCACTGATTTTGTGACTTTTATCGACTTTATCTGTTTGGTTCCTTAGTACATATCCAGTATCAGAACAATGTGCAGTCATAAACAGGAGATGCTCAAATACTGAAAAAAAGGATGAACTACACAGCAAGAAGAGCTGCTTTGGGGAAAGATTTCAGGTTTGTATTTTTAAATCTGAATTGTCTATGCAATATCTAAGAGGAAGTGTTAAGCAGACAGACATACAATAACTGTCTGCACTCA